CGGAGATTGTTCTAAATTTCAATCGGCGATAAATTAGTTTGTTTTAGGAATGAATTTTAATTTTTTTAAGTCAGACGCTTGCTTAAGTTTTATATTTTACTATAAATTAACTTTAAAAAGTATTGTAAAAATAAATTATAATTTTTTTTCATTTGTACAAATATATTTTTGAGATATCATTGCTTTATGTATTTCCAACCCTAAAATTCTCCGACATATATATATATATATATATATATANATATATATATATATGTATATGTATATATATATATATATATATATGTATATATATATATAATTAAAATGCCGATTAAATAGCTCGGCAGAGAAGATTCTTTGAAAGATAGGGAATAATCTGGTCGAAAAATCCCTGTAAGTAGGTGAGGTAAGACGGAAAAGCATCCGCGTGACTTCGTGAACTGTAGTGATCGTGCATTTCACTGGTAATTCATCTTAAGTGCCTATGCCTACGCAAGAACAGGCTTCTTTGCATCTTCTTGGGGGTTGACAAAAAAGACCATTTTCGATTCCCCCTTCTTCGCACTCCCTCTGATTTTCCGATTCACGCCGCTAAATTGACCGTGAAGAAAATGTGAGGGACCACGAGGCTCAGAGAGACAGGTAACTAAATTAAAGCCCTGTTCAAAAATTTTCGTTTCTTTTTTATTTCTGCAATGCTATTTTTTCGTTTTTCCACAAGTAAAAATACCTTCTTCACTCATGTTTCCCCCCCCCTTTAAGCCCCTTCCCCTCCATCTCAATCGACATCGAAGTTAATGGAGAAATTTTTCCTAAATATGGGTTTGTGGAGCTAAAGTATTTCGGACAAACATGCATTTGCCCCGCCCTGTTTTCTACTTGTTTATTTACTTCTTTTTTTACCTAAACAATAAATACGGGCGTTCTTTTTTAACGCCTGAAAGAGAAGAAAATTGAAAGTAAAATGTGGTTTAAACCGTCAATTTTCAATATATCATTTCTAGTGCTCTGTGTTCTTAGAATGAGATCCAATTTTTTTTCGGGAATTATTTCATGAATTCGCATTTCTGTTAAAAATTTATTTACGAATTCATCGGTTCTACGAAATATTTGCTATAATATGACTCGTTTCATTACATTTTTCATTCTATTTATAAATTAGTTTTAATAATTGTTTTATTAGAGTACTCATGACATTTATAAATTATTTTTAAATTTTGATGACATTGTTATACTAGTTCTCTAATGGGCTATTATCGACGCCCTGGGATTCATACATGGGAAAGATCCAAAACAATTACTCATGTACACTACGCTACTACAATTTATATCTAGCGCAAGTGAGTGGTAGTAATGTTTCAGTCGATGCATTTCCCTACCACTTACTTTGAAAAATACTCATCAATCTGTAAAATAGCAAAAAATAAAGAAAGAAGGAAAAAAAGGCAACAGAAAAAAGACGCATAATTAATTAGCGAAATGTTTTAATTGAAATTATTTTAAAACTACACTGGATAAAAATACGCTCTGAGAAAGTGATCAAAGTCAAATTTTAATTGATAAAGACTACAAATTTAAAAACTTACGTAGCTACATCATTTAAAAGTAAATGTTCCGGAAAAGCATTTATTTAAAAATGAATTTGTTATAAAATAGACATTAATGGGATAGAACAAAAAAAAAAAAGAATGGAATGAAAGTAAAAAGAATGAATCGAAAAAAAGAGAAGAAGAAAAAAAATAGAAGAGAAGAGATTAGAATAGAAAAACACAATAGAATAGAATAAAAAGTAACGAAATAAAATAGAAAAAAAAAGAATAGATTAAAATAGAAAAGATAGAAAACAAAAAATATAGAATAGGAAAAATTAGAATAGAAGAAATATAATAAAAATTAATATAATATATATATATATATATATATATATTATATTAATTTTTATTATATTTCTTCTATTCTAATTTTTCCTATTCTATATTTTTTGTTTTCTATCTTTTCTATTTTAATCTATTNTAAACCTATAATGAAGATTTTGATCACCCAGTTTAAATTTTTGTATAACATTAATAATGCATATTACTTTTTTATCTTTAATAAATGATTTTGTTTTGTCTATGAGTTTGAATTATTCATCAAAAAACATTTTTTTTTTCTATTTCCAGTAATAATTTGTAATCAAAAATCTGATCTGATAATTATATTTTTCAAATGTTTTAATATCATTAAAAATTAACTTATTTTTAACCATTTACTCTCGAAATTTTTTAAAACTTGAAAGCTAGCCTTAAGTAGTAAATTTTATAATCTTTAACTTTGTACCTGCAATTAAAACTTGTTGTTTTTTGAAAAATAGCAAATTTTTATCCATTTTCAAAGTTTTTTGAAAACTTGAAATTAATCTTAATAAATAAAATGTAGTGCATATTCACTGTATTTAAGATTTATTATTTTTAGATTAAAACCAATTTCAAAACCTCTCGAAATTCCCGAAATGCTTAAGCCAATTTCAATTATAACGAAATTTATATAGTTTGTTTGTAATCAAAATTTGTTACTTTAGAAAGGAAATAGAAAATTTTTACCTGTTTCCAAATTCTCCCAAGATTCTCATAAATTGTAAACTAATTTAATTTATGTTATTTATTGTCTGTAAGTAAAATTTTATTTTTTTTAAAAAAATAGCAACTTTTTACCCATATACAAAATTTCTGGAAATTCTCAAAACTTGAAAACTATCTACGATTTAAAAAAATTGGCTATAATTTATTGTCCATAAATGAAATTTTGTTATTTTAGGGAAAATAACACCTGTATAACATCTTTCAAATCGCTTGAAGATTTGAAAAATTGAAAACTATTTTCAACCGATAAAATTTAATGTTTGCGTTGAAGATAGCATAACTTTTCGATTATTTCTTAAAGAATAATTGTATAATCGACTCTCTCTCTCAAAATAACAGAAAATATTCCGCGTCGTTTATAAGTTTACCATTTCCTAAAACTGAGTGGTTTTTCTAGCCCTATTGCGTTGTATAACTGAAAATATACAAAGTGTAACTATAACACATCATTACTTACACATTTTGCCGAATTAGGCTGTATAGCATTGTTCGAATAATACTGTAGACAGAAAGCGATTTTATTATTTTTAAAATGGTTTCAAATATGAGAAGTACAGTTTTTGACTTATACGCGTTTCTATATCTAACAGAGTTTATCTAAGAAAGTGAAGTATAGTTTCCTGAGATTTTATATCATTGAATCGAAACAAATCACAACTGGATAGATAATTGTTAAAGTCGAAAAGTTATAAGAGGCTTTCTGGATAAAAAAAGTAAAAAATTTTCATTTAACATCTGCCTATTTAAACATCTCACAATGCTTTTTTTTTTAAATTGCTATTTGCGCGAAGTTGGTATTATTTTCCTCATAAATCTTTTGGTGGTAAATACGAAGAAATGAAAATCAAGTCGATAAAACCAGTAGCTTAGAAGTTAGACGAGATTTTATGCATAAAAATTAAAAAAATTGACTTATATCAATTGCCCATTCGACATTAGAAGATTGATGTATTGCTCATAAATGTAACTTTTTTTTATACTCTGAATCGATTGAAGTTAAAGAAAAAGACAAGAAATTAAGTCGTCGATGAGCTTTTATGTTTAATTAAATGTTTAATTAAACCAACACGCTTAAAACGCGTGCTAAATAAAATCGACACAACTTAAAATGCGTGTTTAATAGGGTGAACACAGCACAAAATGCGTGTTTAATAAAATGAACACAGTTTAAAATACGTGTGTAACAAAGTCGACGCAGCTTAAAATGCAAGTTTACTAAAATGAACCCAACTTAAAATGCATGTTTAAAAAATGGACACAGCTCAAAAAGCGTGTTTAATAAAATGGACACAACTCAAAATGCACTTTTAATATAATGGAAGCAGCAAAAAATGCACCTTTTTAATGCTCAACCTAAGTTTAATAAATAGACACAAAATTTCGTGCGTAATTTTTCAAACTCTAAGTATAAACATTAAGAGGGCTAAGTACTGAACTTCGGGGCTGGAGGCCGGATTTGTTGGGTATATTACAGACGCAACTTTTCCTAATAAGCATAATATGCATAAATTATATACTCTGACATAAATTTCCAGAGCCGATGACAATTACATCAATATAAATGTTGACTTTTAATATCTTCTCAAGAAGGACTAACTTAAAACTGATGCATTACGTAATTTAAGCGAATGGACAACATCACATTGCGAATTTAATTAGATCCATTAGTTTATACTTTAAAAAAGGAAAACAATTTTCGTAAGAGAAGTTTGAAAAGCGAAATAAAATGCCCATTTAAACACGCATTTTGAGCTATATCCAAAATTTAAAAAAAAACACTGATTGAGCTATATTTTATTTTATTTTATAACCGGCGTTGAACAGCTGACCCAAATCAGAGTCTACGATCATTCAACTCCATTGCATTGTAATTTTGAACCCAACCCAGAAAACAAGGAAACTCCTGGATCAAGCATTGGGACAAACTGGTTTACGTGGAGGATTTTTGATGGAACTAACACGCATTTGCGTTACATGGTGAGGAAAAGCACGAAATTTTATCATGGTTAACCCGAAGGCAAAGGGATTCAAACCCAGGATCCGCCTACCACTGAGGATAGTTTACGCCAGTACTGTGGTAGATGCGAATCGGGAGCAAAATTCGTATCAACTAGCCATAGCTGGGATTTGAACCACATTGGCAAGCGAACGCTTTATCTCCTGAGCCACCACAACTCGCTGACCTACATTTGATCTTTTCCTGCATTCAAAATATTTTTCAATCTAGCTTAATGACATTGTTGTACTTAATAATGCTTTTACATAAAAATAAGTTTTCCACGGAATTTATGGATTTGTTCTCACTATATAATAAAAATTCATTCAAAACATGTTTAAAATTAGCACGTTTCAGAAAAAAATTTAAAAACAAAAAGAAATAAAACAAACTTTGTTAAGCACAAGTCATTTATTTTACATAAAATCAAAACATTTATATCACATTTTTTGTAAAACACACAAAAACACACAATCTTTTGATTATAATTCTTTTTTAAATAGTATTTTGCGAAATTGCTGTAAAGAGATAAATTACGACCAAAACTATATGTCTGAAAAAATAGTAACTCAGTTATAAAAATAACATTGTATTCTCTACAGTAACAAATACTCAACTCAAATACATTTTACATTGCATTGTTATAATACAATAATACATCAAATACATTTTTTTTCTCAATAAACAAAAGTGAGATAGCTACTATAGTCTAGCTGTTTACTCATGTTTTCCATTTTCTTAATATAGTCATTTTAAACTTTACTATCGGGAAACCTGATTTAATTACAATAAATATTTCAATGTAAACATAATCTATCAAGGAAAAAAAACATTTTTTTTCTTTGTTCTTCAAATTGTTTGTATGCTTGTTAAAATTCTTAGTTGAGAAACATGTTAAGCAATGTTGCGAAAACTTACCCCTTTCTGGGTGTAAAAGCACATGTTGCAATCAATTGTCATTATTTGAAGGTTTATTTAATCAGTCAGATCATTCATGGGCGTTTTCAGGTACTCTTTCTCCACGAAAAATTTAAAAAGCCAAACTTTAAGTAAATACCTTAAACTAAATCAAAGTTGCAATTTTAAACTAAATGCCCATTGCTGCAAAGAAATTGGATGTGTGCAAGTGACGTCATCGCTGGTAAATCGTGGCATTTAAAGTTAATCAATCACGTATGCGTGACGTCACTTGCAGGCATCCAATTAAATCTGATCATAATGACTTCTTTTCTTCTCTAGTTGCCTGTATTCTATAATCTGGATTTAAAAAGAAAAGTAGTTTAAATATTTGGAAAATTATTAAACTTTACAAAAACGAAGGAAAAACGCAAACATTTGACACAATTTTTCACCTTCTTGTAGTCATCAACTGTGTTTTTTTTTCCTTTTTTTTCTTAAGCTTTTCGCCAAGGAAAATAAAATAATAAAAAAAGCCGAAGTTTTTAACACAGTGCTTTGAAGCATAGCTATAATTTTAGGCTGCACAAACCATCATAGCGTGAAAAATTATTTGCGCTTTAGAACATACAGGTATGTTAAATATTTTAAGAGTTCAATTTTTTTTCACCAAAAATTTCAAATTTGGTGAGTTTTTCACCTAGATGACAATTTTTAAAACTGAGAAATAATTTTCAATTTTCGCAAATTTTTAGAATTTCAGATAATGCAGCGTTGTAGCACTTTCCTAAATACTAAACAATTACATCCCTAACCCTTTCCCTTTTCACGAAACTGTGGATTTTCTTTATGTTGACTTTTTGCGTCATTTTCAGAATTATCACAGAGATTGCTGGATGGAGATAGGCTATATTTGATCTAACTGTCCTGAATAACCGTTGTAAACCCATATCAGTTATAAAAATAGCCTATTATATGTAGGCAAAATATCATTATTTCATATGACGGTCAGACTGTCCGAAAAACCACCTTACTAATAAACAACTCATAGTCCTTATATTTTCTTATGAATCTAGAAAATGCACCTTGATAATAATTTTCCGAATATTAAAAAAATCAAATTACAAACACTTTTTAATTTCAAAAAACCATGACAGCTCTTTAGACTGACAGTTTGTTTCATTTTTATATCAGTATAAAGGCTGCTAACTCGACAAAACTTAGCCTAACTGCCATGAATCCCTCTTACAAAATCACAACAGTAATAAAAATAGCATAAAAATCCTAAAATGTGTTATTTTATGAGACGAAAAAGAACAGCTTTAAATAAAAGGTTTGTCTGAGGAAAATGTTTCATGAATATTTTCTTGATGTTTCTGTCCATTGTAAAACTTATTATCACTGATTCACTAAAATTAGGCTTGACATATTTTATCATGTCTTAGCCTTTCCACGTTAACAACCCAGCAAGAATTTCTAAAACCACATTCGTAACTTCGATGAAATTATCGCACAGTAATGGTACATTCTCATTTTTTTTTTCACCACTTATATGCGCAATCACGTAACTGTGTGCAAAAAATATCTTCTTTTTTTTTCACTATTTCAACTTCGAAACTTATTTCTTTTTACTAGCACGAAATAACATACAAGTAATACTGCGATGTATTGCAGATATATCGGGTCAATCTAAGCATATCATGTGTGGGGTTCGACTGGAAGACGTTCTTAAACTCGTAAAATGAGCTGACATTTAATCTTATAAAGATTCCCGTTCATGGCACTTCAGAGAGTTGGAATGCATAAATATTGGAATTCCTTCACAGGCACGAATGAACTAAACGCCTCGTCTTGCAAGTCCTGCACTCAACTTGACAACACCAGTGAAAAGTACAGTTACACCTACTCGTTTCCTCTCTGTGCTCCGCCTTGTGGCCCCGACCACAGCACATGAGGTCACATCCATCGACCCCGATGGAAGATGCATTGCAGATCCTGCCCAAAGTTCCTCGGTGGCCGAGATTCGAGTCTGGAAAGCAGAAATCTGGTGAGTTCTCAAAGTAGACGAGATCTTTTTTGGATGGTGGTTTGTGTTCTGGGTGGTATGGCTTGAAGAGTGCTCTTCTACGGACATTTCCCCGGTTGGTGACAAGAACCCTCGAGGCACCATCAAACCTATCTTTCAGTCCGTCTCCTACAGCTCGGAAAGGTGGCAATTGCATCCAGCAAGTTTGGACAGTGCAGCTTCCTGACATTCCATGGCATTTACATTGCCTTCGCATGCCAGCTGCGACATGCTGCAAAAAAAAAAAGGATTTTGTTTAACAAATGCATGATGCTGATATATTATTGCAGTTCAAATAGTAATATAATAACACTGTTGAACAAATGTTTTACAGCATTTAAGCAAATACTTGATATTGCCAGATTCGGGTGTGGGGATTTCAAATTTGAAATTAGTTTTGTTCTTAAAGCTACAGATTTTTTTGAAGTGGCCTTTTTAGTAAAATTTTTGTTGAAATGAACAAAAAGCGTTATATATAAAAAGGGGGGAACGTAAAAATGTTGCGACAAATTTCGAGGGAAGTTAAGGCACATCGTCAGGATCAAAAATGCATAGAAACCCATGCCCAGAAATGTTCCTAACAGCATATGATGGCATTTCCGAGCATGGATTTCGACGCAGATTTAATGATGCACCCTGAGGATGTACCCTTACTTTCCTAAAAGTTTGTATCAACATTTATGAGACCCCCTGTTCCATATAATATTTCTAAACTTGTATATTTCGACAAAAAGTAGACTAAAAATGCTATTTTAAACAACAACAAAAAAAAATTGGAGTTAGGAGAAGGAAGCTGATTGCATATTTAAAACAGCGATGAAAAGTATCTAAGATATTTTTTAAAAAAAATTTTTCCTAGTGTAAACATCATAACTTTTATCACAGTTCATCTAATTATTTTAAACATTTTCTGGATATTTTAAATCCGTTGTTGTTTAAAGAATCAAATTTGGTTGACTGCAATTAAAATAAATGAGACCCTATATCAGAGGAATCATAGTTCTTACACACTTTACAAACTGACCAAGAACACTATAATGCGTTATTTGTTCCTTAAAAAGACGTAATATGTCCTCCCTAATATGCCTTATTAATTATAAGCCATATTAATTTAAAAAGTTGGCATTGAATTTAGCTTTGGTAAAAAGGTACGTTTCTTTTCATTCGATAAACTGACAACTGTAACAGTGAACGAAACAATAAAATTGGCACAGCTTAGTAAAGCATGTATAAATCTTATGTAAATATTATTACTGTATATAGAAAAAAATGACTATTTTATTAGTTAATGGTTGGAAATGGGAGAAATATTAATATTGTTTTCTAAAATAATATAATTTTATTTGTGTAATTAATCGTTATGTATTAAAATTTTAATGCAATTGTTGCCTCACTTGCTAATTAACATGCCTAAAATTAAATTGCTTTTGGAAAACCACAATGTCCATAATTAAGTTTCTTAAGAAATTACATCAGTAATTTGTGGATTGTCCTTCGGCCGCCAGCATGAAGATAACAAGTTAACTGAGTCCACCTACCTGGGAATTTTCAATATTGATGATCAGGGCATGGTGTGCACAGAGTAAAGTTTAAGAAAAACTCACATTATTAGTAGACGAGATAATTAGTTCTCAGACTTTATAGATGAGAAACTTTGTATCTATTTATAGAACTGTCCCAGTAGAAAAACATGTTATAACTTCTTATAAATTCAACGTTCAATTGGATTTGAGTCGTTGGACACGAATTTAATGTAATTAAATAATTATCCGAACTTAATTAGATATTTTTTTATGAAGCTAATTACTACACAAAGTTTAATTTCAAGTTAATTGAAAGAATATATAATACTTTATGTATTTTTAAATGTAAATACAAATATAATAGTTTTGTTATCAGAAATTTATCAATTAACTACTGCCACTCAGAGAATTAATCTCTTGATGAGTTATAAACTTAAACAAAGATGTTTAAGTATTTCAATTTAATGCCGATTTTAAAAAAATTTCAACGTGAAAAATTACTTTTTTTACTTTATAGCTTATTATCTTTTACTACAAACAAATATAATTGTTGAAATTTCGAACGATTTTAGAATGAAACTAAACTAAACCAAAGAAACCAAATTGAGTCGGTTTTAAAATTCATTTTAATTACAAATACTGTGCTTTTTAATGAACTCTTCTTTCAAGAACTTTTTTCTGTTTTTTTTTTTTTTTTTTTTTTTTTAATCCAGCCTACTGTTACAATTCGATACTTTTCTTCTTAGTTCAATAAACTAATGGTTCAATAAAGCCAGTAAAACTTACTGGTGGACGAGATATCTCGTTCATAAACGTTATAAATTACCTGTTGGATGCATCAATTGTACTAATTTTTGAATTGTAGTTGTAATTTTCTAATATTACTTATACCAAAATTATATATAATTTTAATACCAAACTTAGCTTCAGTGAATATAAATATTTTCCTGGCTCACAAAAGCTCTTACCTAAGCCTTAAAAATATATCTATTGAAAAAAAAAAATTGCATTAAAAAATATATTGAAAAAGTTCTTCTCTTTTTGGGGTATTAGGTACTTCCCTATTTGTTTTTGATCTGCTTTTCTGATATTTCCGGAAGACATTCTTTATTCAACCTATATTCCTGAAATATAACAGACAAAGTCTGTTTCTTAAAAAAAGGAGCATGATTCACTAAAGTTAGTAAAAATCCCAGGTAGACGAATTATCTCGTTCATAAACTTCATAAATTATCTATTGGATGAAATACGTTGTATCAATTTTTGAGTTGCAGTCACAAATCATTAATTTTACTAACAATGTGTAACATCAAACTCATCTTCAGTGGATGTAAATATTTCCCAGGCTTACAAAAGCTCTGACTTAAGCCTACAAAAAACAGTTATTGTGAAGCAATTTCGAATTTTAAAAAAAATATATATTGAAATGGTTCTTTTATTTTTGTGTTATTAAACCCTTGTTACTTTACTATTATTTTTTTTTTCAATCTGCTCTTCTGATTTGTGGGAAGACATTCTTTGTTCAGCCTATCGTGCATTCCCATAGTACAGCGAAGTCAAAGTCTGTACCTATAAAAAGAGGCATGGTTCGTTAGAGTGCAGCTTGAGGAATAAAGCTCTTTAAAAAAAAAGAATGAGAACAGGTTCTTAGTGTCACGACACACAATTCTTCTCTGCTCAATATTTCAAGTAAGGTGAAAAAAGAGGAGTGGATAAAGAAGAGACAGAGAAAGAAAAAAAAAAACAGCAACAGCTGACGACCACCGGTGGTGAGTATTGTCCAATGAAGTGTTTTGCAATTCATAAATCAATTAGTCCTTTTTGCCTCAGGGGTCTTTGCGTGACTCCATTAACTGGTATCTTGGGGTGGTCCCGAACACAGCTCTATCCGTCACAATCACCACGCTTTGTGGTAAAGTGTGGTGTAAGCTAGAATCATCTCAATCGAGTTGGAAAAATCGCGCTTCTGCTTGATTAGAGGTAAAAAGAAAAGTACAAACACAATGGAACAGGGTTTACAAGACAAAGAAATACTGCTATTTGCAAATGGAGAAGTCCTCACGCCTGGCAAGCTGTTAGCTTTCTTGTTTTTGTTGTTAATTAATGATGGTTTGGCAGAGGAAGAACATCTCTTTTTAGTGATGTTTCTCTCACGAAGGAATTCAATCTACAGAAATATGTCGTTCTAAAATGCTTTGTTAGAGTGGATGGAACTAAATATAATTTTTAGCGATAATAATTCATGATTAATACAAAATAATTCATAGGTATTGCAGTTTATAATCAAAAACTCATTTTGATTTTTGAATCAATTTGTATCCACTCTCAAAAATTCTGTTCGATGTAGGCAAATATTCGGAAAACAATCTTAGAAAGGAACCGAATCATGTTTTCCTTCGAGTAGAAACATGGTTTCATGTAATCGAGATAACTATGGATTAATTTGCACGATAGTATAGTTCAAGTTGGCTCCATATTCAGATTTAAGCAATTTTGAACAATATTAGGGTTCAATAACGTTGCTTCAAAAATTCTAACAGCTGAAAAAACTCGAAAATAAATCCTATCCTGAATTTTTTTATTCGTTTAATTTCATTTTATTTAATTTGATGAAGTTGAAGCACATGTTAACCTTTGAGACACAACGCATAGTGTCAAAAATCTATCAAAATGTGAAATTATAAGGAATTCTTAATTCAAATTCCTATAATATTTGATGAATATAAAGGAATTATTTCAAAAAAAAAATAGCTAAATGAAGATAACACTTTATTTTGGATCTTAAAAATATTCTTTTCAAAACGAACTGAAAAAGAGAAAGGGAAGAAAAGCAATGCACTATTAACGAAGACTTGATGAGCGTTGCCGTTGATAAAAAGAAAACAAAAATTTAAAGGGAAAAAATCTAAAACTAATCGGTGCAAGAAAATAAGTCCTTTGTGCTTATAATGCTTTTTTAGAGCTAGATCTGACACTAATGAATTAAATAGGAATGGGATTATATGGCTTAGTTCAATGTAGTACGCAAATAACAGGTCAGTACATTTAAATTCACACTGTTCAGTGAATTACTACGAAAGTGTAATGATACAAAAGGAATTTTCGCAACTTAAACTGCTTAAAAGTTTCCATTTCCGTGTGCTGCACGTAAAAGTGCAGGGTATCCTAAAAAAGACTGTTTTTGAAAATTGAACAAAGAAGTACTGAATGCTAAAAAAGAATAACTGTTTTATCGAATTTACGAGACTGGGCATAAATTTCATTTTCAGAATTCCTCTTTTATGTTCAAAACCAGGAATTTCGACAGATGCAGCTGTAAGTAATAAATTTCAAAAAAGAAAATGAAATTAACATCACAAATTTTTAAAATCTTTCAATGAATAAAATTCGCATTATCGTGTTTTCGAAATATCTTTCATGAACCGCTATATCATGTTATAATTAGGGGACGAAATTTGCCTATTTCAACACGTAACGTAAAAAAAAAAAAAAAGAAAAATGGTAGAAAATATTTGCAGCGCTATCTATCGGAAAATGTTTGAACTAAAACTAAATCCTGGAAGAAAACATGCCCTCTCACGTGATTTTTCCACAAGAAGTGTTTTTTCAACTTCAACTAATTTTAATTAATAAACTATTAGCCTAATTTGAAGTACCCCAGTATATCAATAAAAAGTGTTCTTACTTTCCTGTCTAAAAGTGTTTTTTT